TCTTATTTTTAAGTGCATTAAGATTACTTAAGCTGTAAACTGCGAATGTAAAAAAAAAACTTTATTAAATTGGAAAATTCAACTTTTTCATTTCAAAATGTAAGTTTATAATAGTATGCTTTTTTTTAACCCAGTTATGAAAACTATTAAATCTTGTGCATTTGGAGACTTTCCAGGCTGTTGATACTATATAAATGACACAATAATTTAAATTGGCTGTAAATGTTCAATTATTATTATTAACCTCTTAAGTTGGATATATGAGAGGGTGGGATTCACCCTTTTCTGTCCAGCTTTAAGGTTATTTAAAAAACAGTCACCTCCTTTTTTTCTAAATCCTTCAAAAAAAAAGGCTTTAATATCTAGCAGATGCTGCTGGTGTCCTGCCTTTGGCAGTGAGTATGTTAAGACATGAAGGACAAATACAAAAAGCAAACACATTTAAGGAAAACCGACTGCACAAAGCATCATTACCAACAAGTCTGATTGGTTAATCACGTTGTCGAGACGGCTGTTTAATCCTCCACCCCAGCCCTTTGAAATCACTGTGAACAACTAACTCAAATCAACATACGAAAAAAGGTCTGAGTGCAGCTTGATTGAAGAGGCAAAGGGCAACTGAAGGGCACCAGTAGCGAAACCACTATGCAAATTCCCCTCAACTTTGTTTGACAAGCAACAACACTACTTTGTATATATGCAAAGCCTGGCAAGACACTGAGCACACAGCCCTGCTGTCAAAGCCGAGTCCTGCTTGGGTGGTGACACCCATTGGGTGACCCTTGGCAGCAGTGACACTTTAGGGCCAGACTTCACACTCCATCCAGACAGACACACTCCAACACATGCAAAGCTTATTACATGAAGCAGACATCACATCGCAGAGGTCAAACAAGGTCGGAATGTGGAATTGCCCTCTGATTCTGTGAAACTTGGAAGCATGTCAGGAGTGGTCTAATTTGATTTCTGGAGCCTCTACCGTCCCCACTGAGGTGAAAACTACTTGATTAGCACTTTGAATTTACTCAGCAGCTGGTCTGTTTGCCCCCCCACCAAAGAGCTGCTGGTAAAACACGGTGGATCCCATTATCCATTACTCAGTTAGGTCTCACGCTGTTATTTTCCTCTTAGCCGGCTGCTATCACATCTGAGAAGTGTCTTGAAATCCCTCTATGGAGATAGAATGAAGAATTTCCCTGAATTTCATTGTACATCAGTATAGTCTAACTGAAGCCATAAAAAAACTCTCCAGTAACTTAAGTTTAAGTATTATATGACAAGATAGGAAAGGCAATAAATTGCATACTTAACATTGTTCTTTTTAGATAAGTATATTTAAAGGCAACAATTCGGTGGCCAGTGTTTCTTTAGCAATGGAACAAATACAACTACTATATTGTTCCTTAGTCATATTTCCATTTCAGCCTGGTATTGATCTTATAATATATAATTTCACTAAAGTATTTCAACATGTACCTTTATGTATCTGTAATTTCCTGGTTTGGAAACCAATGTCAAAACAATTTTGTAAAATAATTTACATCTTTATCAACCAGGATATCTTAAATTCAAGCTCTTGAATGTTTGCCCGTCCTAAAACAGAGTTTATTGTACAGGTGATGCAGAGGTGTTAAACATCTTCATAACTGTTTGAACATCTTATAGCAACCAACCTATGCATCATTTATCAATTGTTTTGATATTGGATTAAATGACTGAAAATCACCAGCTAGACTTCATTCATTTTCAATTGTCATGTAATTTTCTTATTTTGTTGGGCATCATATACTTAACTGAATCATCATAATAACTCTTTTTTAAATTTATAAAGCTAGATATTATTTTATCTTTAACTGGGCAGAATTTAGGTGCTAATACAGTTTATCTTTCTTATTCAAGGTTGTATGAAGGTAGATGGGTTCTAGTTGGATGACAATAAATAGTTTATATTCATGTGTATGTGAATATTTGAACATAGCTGTGTTAGACATAGAGCTGGGTACTGAACTTCGGTTCTTTTATGGTACCGACCGAAATGCTTCGGTTCTACAGAGTATCGAAACATGCCTCGTCTTTCGGTACCAAGTTTCGGTGATTGGCTGTAACACTTAACGTGATTGCGTTATACAGGAAAAATACACAGGTGGTCACGCCTACAGCCAGGGTTCATGTGTATCTGTTGTGAACTGGTTGCGAGCGTCATGGAACCCCTTTAAAATGCCCCCCAGGTCAAAAGTGCGGCTTCACTTTATTAAGACTGATGCTAATAGTGCGCAATGCAACACATCGTGCACGGAAATCATTTAAGAGCAGAAAGTTGCTCGGTGTTTGACTGCAAGATGAGCGGACCGCAGCCGGCGCGACCATCCTCCTCTCAGCAGCCCGTGGGCAGAGCAAAGCCAGAGCGGAGTGAATAATGCGAGACACTCTTGGAGAATGCTGCTTTCAAACTGGACGCAGCAGGAGCAGCAAAATCGCGTCTGCTGCTTCCTTTTTTGCTGCTTGTACCAGTTGAGTTCTGACGCGCGGCTGAAGAAGCTTTGCTGCTCTGGCTGCGCGGTGCAAAAGTGTGTCTGACGCGCGTTGGGTGGAGCTACTCTATCCTTTATTTGCCTTGCAGCTATATTTGCTGTGATCAGTGGGAATAAAGTAGATTTATTATGTTTTTAAGTGGGAAAATCCACCTGAAAACTTAATCAGTGCAGTCAGTTCATCCTGCCTTCCAATATTTCTGTCGGAGCCGCTCAGACCCCCACATACCAGCGGTGCGCTGTCAATAGGATCCCATTCAACGGGCTTGTTTGTCAGACATGGTAATTTTTCTGAAGGAAAACTGCTAAGTAAAAAGGTCCTCACAATGTAACAGTGAATATTTGACACTGAATTTTTTTTTTTACGTAGGAGGAAAAAGTTAATGGAAAAATCAGAGCTTAAAATAAAACTCAAGATTTGTACTTTTTTATGTTGTGTAATTTTCTTTTTTTTTCCCGAATTGATATTATAAAACTGGTATTGAAAAAAGTATCGTTCAGGAACCGGTATCGAAGTGAAGATATCGGTATTGGTATCGGAACCGAACATTTTTGAACAATACCCACCCCTAGTTAGACATATCTAAGGCTTGCCTGTTTTCATGGTATAAAGACTCTTAGATTATGTCCCAATCATAACGATTTCACATAATGCATGCAGCTTATGAAATGCGAAGAATATTACCGGTAAGTGAAAACAGTGGAAATCTATGCATTTTTTTCAAGGTGTACCCTTAAAAGATGAGAGATGGGGTATACTTTGGAAAGGACACCAGCTTATCACATAGACTCAAAGCTCTCTGCCTGATTTACCATCAGTGAAAACTGGAAGAAAACCCATGCATACATAGGGAACACAAGCGAACAACACACAGAAAGACTTCAATCAACATTAGAGCTGGAATTTTGTTATCTTTTTGTTATCTGACATTATCAACAACTTTGTTGTGCTGTTATGACAGCACCAGAAAGTCTGCTCTTAAGTGAGAGAGAATATCTAACAGTGTTCTGTTTAGTGCTTTATAGAAGGGATATTGGGATATCGGTAAAATTCCTCCCTTCAAACAAGCTAAGCTACAGCAATAATCTACAGAAAATGTCTCAAGTGGATGATGGATTTCCACTTGAGACGATAACATTCTCCTACTTTTATTTTGTTGTTTATTGATAGCATCTCCAAGAGCCACTAAGAAAAAAAGACTTTTTGTTTACTTGGGTGAGATGACATCTTTACTTATGTTGAAGAGTGCTAATTGTACAATCCCTCGTAGGTAATGGCCTACATCACACACAAGGATGGATTAAAGCCAGGAATTTAAACATCTTCAGGTAGTGAAGAAAAAATACATAGTTTAAACTGCTGATGGTATTTTTATTTGAACCCCTTCACACTAATACCACTAAATAAAGTCCATTGCCAATAACTGCATTCTGAAATCATTTAAGTTGTAGATTCTAAGACTCAGCTGCATTGATTTGTTGGAGAACATACTGATCAAACAGCGTCACAACACAAAGACCAACGATCACTACAGTTATGTCATGGGCAATGTTGCCTGAACATCACATGCACAAACACACACACCCACACACACACACACGCATAAACTATTTACCTCTCCATTCTAAAGCAATAAAACATTGAACAAATGCAACCTAACAAAAATATGCTGGTCATTCAATTTTTTGGCCTTTACACATTGAGTGTATGGATGTCAAAGTAATGTTTGCACCTAAATCTCACCAGCCAGTCTCCAAAATAAAAACATGGAAGGTGCATACAGGGAAAACTGTTAAAGACTTCGAAGGACTTAAGGCTCTGACCAAATTTTTTATTCAATTTATTGAATATCCCAAACCATACAGCCAGATGGATTAAGAAGGTCTAAATCTAAGAATCTTCAAGGGATAGAATTGCTTAGGCATGTTTTACACTGAATTAAATATCTTTGAAATGACCTGCCAATTATTGTAGTTGTTTTCTTTCCAGGCTGACTGACTTTGCAGTATCTTGTAAAGAGACTAGGGAAAAGTCTATAGACATGCAAAGCCATACCCCAATAGAGTTACAGTTGTTGTAGAGAAAGGTGCTTCTACTAGGTTACTCTTTAGACAGAAATGCATGCCACACTTTTTTTTTGCAATAAGAGAATATTCCTTTCCATCTGATAAATCTAAGCCACTTAGTGTTGGGCAGTCTCATAAATTAATTATACATGTATAATGACGTCTGTAGTTGTAACTTGATAAAATTGGAAAGTGACTGAATGTTTTCTTAATTCATACTTTTGTTTTGGAATGCGAACAGCCTGTCAAAAAAAGTCAGTACTGTAGGATTTAGATAAACTAACAAATGAAACCAGCCAGCCTTCACCTTGCTTAAAGAAAAAAAGGGGCAAACGAGAAGAAAATTGCTGCAACTTTCACAAAAAGATAGATGGACATAAAACTACATAAACAATGTTTTACCTGCTGCTTCCCTGTAGGGGTTCGCTGCCCTTCCGCCACAAGATGACACCCCAAGGAGACATCTTGGGCTTGCACTCGATCAGGATATCTCCTCCTACTTTCACCAGTGTCTGACTCTTCAGTTGATTGTGAGAGAAATCTGGGGCAACAGCTGAGAGAAGAGAAGAGAAGCAAATTACCGGCATTGTTTGTGAAAGCATCTTAGTAAAGATTCTTTTTTTGTCTAATTTATCTCAGACCATTTATCTCCTTTTAAACATGTCGCTCAGTGTTTTGTTCCTTTATACCATTTTGCAAAATGAGTTCATTAGGAATCTGAATTTTCCACCATAGATAATTTGAAGAGACATGATTGCATAATTAGCAATCAGACATCTGATGTGGAGTTCGGCAGTTTGATGTAAGTTTATTAGTATTATGCTCAGTAAGACAGCATGTGACCCCCCACCACCCACCATTTCCAATTATCATGGCTTTTAAAAAGCATGGAGATGTTGTGCCTTTGGCACTTCTTTTCTGCAATCTTCACTTTAAGTTTGACCAGAGCACTCAGCTGTGTTGAGCCTGTTTCTAACCAGAAAACATCATCCTGATGTGATATGTTGGAGTTTGTAGGAGCAATAAAGGCTCAAACTGAAGACTGACAGTTTTGATAAGGCAGATGGGCAAAGATTTCTCAGTAGAAACATTCTGGCATACTTCGCTGTCAATCAGGCACAGTCATCCTAAAAGTAATGCTTTTAAATTAATGTCCAAACAGAAAACAGGAAAGAAATCATCTTACAAAATTGAGTGCAGAAATGAAGACTAATTAAACTTACAAACAGATACTGATGAGGAAAAGTTTGCTGCCAGCAATTAAAAAGATTAGTAGAAATCCCTGGTATATGTATTATTTATTGCAGCATTATCTAAATCCTTAATATCTCACCTTTGATTTGAAAACATTTATTCTGGTAAAAAAAGAAACTGAAATGACTGGTTTGGTTAAAATTGCATTTTTGCTTCATAGACTGAACAACTTGTGTGTCTGCAGTGTCTACGCTGGTCTTACAATGTCCTGAATAAAGATGCATAATGTACCCAAAAGGCCTCCAAGGGGATTTATTTGCAAATATGAATATTTGCTATAGAACCAATTTCTAAAATACCACAAAGAGATAGGTCAATCAGTAAATAGTTGCTGTCATTCAGTTTATGTTTCTAACAACACATCATTTCCTCCAAATGGCAATTTATAGTCAATACTGTCAAATTATGCAGACAGGCTGGTTAGAGGGTTTTGTAAGTAAACCCAGTAGATTGCATGGAGTCATTAACATGTAGGACTCACTCCTCCTAGATGAGCATTTACTGTAGCTGCGATGGACAGTTGCTTGCATTGTGTTTCTGTCTTTGCAACAATCCTCCACACCAAACATGGACATAGTGACAAAAAAACAACAACAAAACTCTACTTTAAGGAAAAACCCTTTTAGCAGAACCAGAACTGTGTAAACAGCCTACTTTCACAACTACAGTAACTGGTCATTTGGGAAAACAGAGCAGACCCAAAAGGAACACAGAAGTGCTGATACAGGGATGTTTGAACATGAAAGAAAAGAAAATATTAACAATAGTAGATCCTGTGTTGGCTTCATCTTGGAGAATAATACAACTAAGCAGAAGTGTTTAAAGCTAGTTTTCAAGTCTAGAAGATGAAGTAGAGCACATTCAGTTAGTCTTGGTAAAACCTCAGCAAACAGCTATGTCTGGGAAAGGGGAAGAGTTAATAATTGAAAGACAGAGCCAAGTGGATCATCTACTGTATTGAAGTAGAACATGAAGTTGTCTGCAGCAACAGCTCCTCAGGGCTGGTGTCCCGCTAAAGGTAGAGAGAACATAAAGTATAAGTCCAAATAGCTGAAAATTATGGAACAATAGAGAGTATTGGGAGAATGTAGTAGAGTAAGGGAAAGTGGTGATTATATCCTCCAGCAGCCTCTGCCTATAGCAGAATAAATACAGTACAGTTTTGGTGTCCAAATCATTTGGCTTACATTCAGAAGTTCTGGTTTTTGTTCTGCATGCAGAAAAGAAAATCTTTCTACGAGCCTCATACACTCTTACAAGGTTTTTATGGTGTTCTCTCTCACTTCATTCAAAAGCGCACAGAGAATTAACCCAAATTCATTCAAAGTGTAAAAAGGCCTTATGTGCCACTCGTGTAATACGCCTGTGAGTGTCATTCCTGCTAGTTTAGAAGGAATAAATCACTGTGTCCAAATTTATTTCTTACAAGATAATACATTTTACTGCAGTTTTACATCAATATCATGTTTATTTATATCACATTTTGAGGGAATTGTTACTTTTTTCAATAATTTGAAACAGTTTTCTATATAAATGTAAGTTGGATCATAGATTTTTTTATATTTTTTTTTTACCACAGAGTTAATTAGGTCAAATTAAAGATGTGTGTTTCACGGTGTAAAATGAGACAGCTGGATTAAAAGCTGAATTCGTTATAAGGAATACTTTCACATCTATAACAGCACAGTCAACAAACTGGCTCCCATCTGTATATGTGTTTCAACTTGTATCTCCACAGAGCACAAAAACCCAATCACACTCAACCTTACCTATGACTCGGAGCTCTGCGTTGGAATAGACCTCGCCATGCTTGTTCCCTGCCACACACTGGTACATTCCGGTGTCAGACAGGGTTAGCCGACTGATTGACAGAATCCCATTGGCAACCTGTATGCGCTCCTGTGGACACAGAGACACACGCCTTTAATATGCCTTTTTCCCCCAGTGCTCATCTACATAAAAACAGCCACGCAGCCAGCCTGTGAGTTATGGTGCAGAAGTGACAGACGTGGCAATAAATCTAGGTTTTCATCACTAATGGAGGGAAAGGCTTGGGTGGATGGAGGCAGGCTAGCAGAAAATGACCCTAATCAATCTACATGTTTATGAGAGAGAAATAAAACCATGCCCTATTTATATCACCCCACTGCACCACAGGGCCTGTTTCCCCTTCAGCAGAAGACGGGGATAAGAGGGGAAGGAATATCATAACATCTGAAAATTGCTTTGCAGATCCCGTAGGTATGCCCTTTAAATACTAAGTGATGTGTACCCCGTAATGCTTGCAGCTGCACTTCATCTGTTTGCTCTATCGGATTTGGTCCCCTGCAGGGGAAATCAAGCTCATCAATAGGACCTCACATTAAAATATGTTTAGCCACTGTGGATGTGCTGAACCTGGGCTGGATCACTGAATAAGCTACTGTATACAGAAAGAAGCCTAGTAGCATTGCCTCTGTATGAATCTGATGGTGAAGCAAAAGTAGCATAATTACAGTAGCAGCACAACGCCAGGTTGCCACAATTTCATATCTTATTATTTTCTGTAGTTTAAACAGTGAAACTTTATTCCACATCTTTACTCAACTTTCATCAAGTTTATTAACATCAGAAGCAGTGGAACTACAAGACTTAGCTACTGATGAATTCAGTCTGTGTGGTTTGTTTCATCTACAAAACCTTACAGGTCCTAACGGTCATGCAAACTGTCATCAGGGTTAACAATCCCTCCGTACACCATTTATGCCCAAAGAAAAGCAACTAACTAATCTACATACCCCACAAATCCTGATCAAGGGCTGGCAAAACATTTGCCTTCAGAGTGCTAATATCCAAACTGAACCAAAACACACACAAAAAAAACACGACAAAACTTTGAAGCTAGGGTAGTAACAAACTCTGCTTACAGAACCTAAGGCCTTTTCGCACAATTTCAAACCTGCCTTCCCTGTACTAATTTCTATATCTATGGAGAAAAAAATAATAACCATATCGGCAACAGAAATTAACATGCTGCTGTTATCCCGTTTATCATGTCCTTTATTATCCCTTGTAAACATGTTTTCCTAAATACTGTACTTACTGTTTGTACTAGTACCAATCATTGGACCAAGTTCAAATTTTAGTCAAATTCCAGCAGGGCTGCCCAGTGTTACAGTGGGTAGCACTGCTGCCTTGCAGCAAGAGGGTTCTGGGTTCAATTCCTGGCCCGGGATCTTTCTGCATGTAGTTTGCATGTTCACCCTGAACATACATGGGTTCTCTCTGGTTTCTCACTCCAGCTTCCTCCCACAGTCCAAAAACATGACTGTTAGGTTAATGGGCTTCTCTAAATTCTCCTTATGTGTGAATGGTTGTTTGTCCTCTTTGTCTCTGTGTTGCCCTGCTATGGACTGTGACCTGTTCAGGCTGTACCCTGCCTCTTGCCTATTGACAGCTGGAGATAGGCACCAGCTGCCCTTGTCACCCTGCTTGCGATAAGCATGACAGAAAATGGATGGATTCCTTTTATGTGCACAAAAATTCACCATTAATGTATGTTTTGATTCTGTACAGAACACTTCGCCATTTCACATTGTGGCATCCATCTTTATCCTTTTCCTGCCTGTAACCTATCTGCCCACAGGGAGTAAATCCTGGTCTATGGGATTGTGAGACATTATTGATTTTGCAGTTAATATGCATGTTGAGTAATAAAGTAATGAACATGTACAGTTTATGTGATGTACGGTCCCTTGCAAAAGTATGTATACCTTATTAATATTTAAAGTCAAAGATCCATTTGGAGCTATGAATTCTGTAACACCCTCGTGAGGACCAAAGAAACACAGCAGACTGATCAGGAAGAAAGCTGTGAAGTCTAAACCGGAGTTGCAAACTGATGTTTATGTAGTAGTCTGCAAAGAACTGAAAAACATTTAAGTTTGTGGATATGAAAAGCTGGTAGGGACCTACCTAAAAGAATTGCAGATATTAGCAAAAGCTACTTCTACACAGCAATGACACATAATACATTGTAAACCACCCTTTCTGCTATTCTACCAAACAAAATCCCCCCAAAATACATTACAGCTTGCCTTTATGATATGACTAAATAAAGGTCAACTTATATAAATTCTTCACCGCACTTGAAGATGATGGGCTTCAGCCAATCTAGACAAATCATGTGTCAATTTTTATGAGTATTAATAGCACGCCACTATTGCAAGAGTGTTTTCAAGTTAACCCAATGCTGCTGATTACTTTAGGTTGGGTAAAATTTGTTTCTTATCTTGAGCTCTTCTTTGTCTGCTTAACATGATTACTTAATGTTTTTCAGGTTGTCATCAAATCTCTGTGTAGCCGTGTGAAGTTTTGGTTTTCAGTGCCCTCGATCTCCTGTGTTTTCCTCTGGCTCACCTTCACTGTCATTAAAGCCCATTGAACTGCAGACGTGAGTGGGATTAAGGCGCTGTCACATGAAAACGGAGGCTGTCCTGACTGAAAGATCACAAACTAATCCTACATTTGAGCAGGTTGTGCCTGAAATTTCCATAATGCTCAGCAGCTCCGGATGTGCAGAGGCAAAGATCCCTTCTGGTGAGCGAGGCAAATGGTGGCGGATATCAGTCTGCACAAGGGAAGCACTCCCATTTACAGCTGCTATTAATTAACCATGACGTTCCTCTAAAATCAGCAGATTTTCACTCTGGGACCTGGGGGGACCATCTGCAGTCCTTCTGTGGAGCGAATATGATTGGCAATGTAATGTGCCAGCAACACAGTTGATTTGCTTGATAAAAACTTTATATTTTTCTAGTCAAGAAATATAAGATTAAATAAGATTATTGTGTCTGACTACTGGGCTGTTTAAAGCTTGCATGTCCTTATATTTTTTTTAAATGTATGGATTGCTAAATAAATAATTTATAAAAAGAATTGATTTCCAAATCTAATTTCCTACTTTTCCAGGCCCTCCAATCTAAAATAATCTCTTAGAGTGGCTGTGTGACACTAATGTAAAAAATCAGCATGCCTTCTTCTTCAAAGTCAATTGGAATTGACTGAGGGTTTAAGAAAAAGCAAACTCTCTTCACTGTTCTTCTTAAATGTGGGATATAAAATGAACAAAAAGAAACAATCAAAACATATCTTAATCTCCAGAGTTTGATCTTCAAAACATTAAGAAAAGGAAAATGTCACTACTGAGCTGAGCTCGAGAAACTATTAATCTTCACCAAAGCAGAACTGTAATATAAATTTTCTAATTGTTTCCAAAGATCTTTGATTAATTTACCGTTTGTGCTTGATGGAAAAATAAGCACATCAGCAGGCATGAAATAAGCTCCCAAGTGGCTTAGCAGCAGAGGAACAAAACCTTTAAGCTGAGCTTCCTTTCTGCACTACAGCACAAATTAACAAGCAAATCAGAGAATCCTAACTACCAAGATTGCTGCAGAGCACAGTTAACCTGCTTTTAATGAGAGTACTTACTACCTAAATTCTAAGGATTTATCTTCAGATGTCTGAATGCAAAGAGGAGTTCAGGTGCACGAGGTAACCCATCTGTATGGTGGTCCTGTACTCATCTAAATACTCCTCTGAATAGACCTAATCCCGTTTTACAGAGTAGTTTCCCGTTAATTGTAGAGCCTCTTACTCCTGTAATCTTTGTCAAAAAAGCATAGGAGAGTGAAGTCATTCATTTGAAAAGAGCCGCGAAAAACGAAAAAATTCAATTAACGATCGACAGGTAAAAATGAGAGAACCACTACGCTGAATGCTCACACTGAAACAGAAATATTGTTGCTTTAAGTCAGACAAAAAGCTAATATAATCCATAAGGCATCCAGTTTCCTGAAACTTTTGTATTTTGGTGCTGGCTAATTCAACGAAAGTACGCCTACAGATAAAAACAGTTGCAGGCATGGGTCTTGTGATCTAACAAGGGTTAATACCCCACATGATAGCTCCTGCCTAACTGAAGGTATTCCCAGAACTCTCAATCCAGATTCGATTCCTGTTCATGTGAGTAACAAGTGTGTGAATGTTTGAGACTCTGACCTTGGAGTAAAATCAAAGTAGTCCTACTATTCCCATGTCATAACAACTGAGCCGGTTAATGTAGGTGTTTGCTCGTTAGCATCTGAAGAGCCACAAATGCTGCTTGTGTGTTAGAATTTTGGTAATATGTGGGAAAAAAAGAAGCTGTGACAGACTGATGTTTATGATTTGTAAGTATATGGTGAGAATAGCCAGATATGCTTATTGTTAGCTGCTAACAAGGCTAAAATAAGGACATACTTTGTTACTATAGAACAGTTTTTAATGAGTCTGAACTGCATATCCTCTTTTGCATTTAAAGGGGTCATAGAATTATTATATACGGTATTTGGTGCTGGTCCTTACGGTCTCTGAATAGGGTGTGTAACGTTGGTTGGGCTGAAAATGGCATATTTGCTGCTCTATGAGCCCTAATGCAAGCCTGGTTATAAGCCCCAGAATGAAACGACAAGTTTTCTTCCTTTTATGGTATGCTCATGAAAATTTAGATGAGCTGTGCACTGGTTGGTGCACAATGAGCAAAGCTGCTGAGCAAAGAAGCATTATAGCAACAAGCACTCAGTCACTGAAAGATCCAGTTGTTGATATGGTAGGGTGACCAGACATGCACTTTTTCCCAGACATGTCCTACTTTTCATACTTAAAAAAAACATCCAGGGAGAATTTAAAAATCGTTGCTGGATTATGGTCGACTACAGTGCAGCATGTCGAACCGAGCCGTGAGCTCCGGGGCTGGTCATTGGATAGAGCGACGGAAACCAAACCGACACCGGCGGCCTCGTGCACGGTAAGGCAGGCAGGGGAAGTGTACCATCACCGGGTCGGGTTTGCTCCGTTTCGAATGCTCGTCCGGTCCACTTAGCGTCCCAGCAGCATACTCAGCTGACTCCCCTTCATGTAAAGGAGAAGCCACTCTAATCCAAACTAGCTTTCTCTACGGGAGATCCCAGCCACCCTGGAGAGAAAGCTTGTTTTAGCCGCTTGTATCCGTGATCTCATCCCTTCCGTCATGATCCAGATTTCTTGACTACAGGTGAGGGTATGAACGTACTGTAGACCGAAAAGTAAATAGAGAGCGCTGTCTTTTCACTCTCCTTTATACCACAGCAGACCCATACTGCGTCTGCATTATAGCAGCAGCTACATGGATCTGTCTATTGATCTCCAGTTCCATTCAACCCTCACTTTTATACTTTGAAGGAGAATCCTAATCTTTTTAATACAGGCACAACGGGTCAGCATCAGCAATACACGTGGGCACCTTTCCTTTTTACAGGGTGAATGCTCTTTCTTAAAGTCGGGAGAATTGTCCAGTGAAGAAGCAACTCAAAACCAACTCCATGGGTTTTCAGAAATAGATAAAAACCATTGGTGCATCCCCCACCCCACTGCTCCTCACACTGCTGACCTTTCCCTCTTCCACTCATTAAGTTGCAGTGGTTAATGGTGGCATTTCGAACAATGCAGCACCTTCCCTGATTAATCCATTCACCCATGCATTCTGAATCTATCCATTTATTATGTCTGTATTAAGGAGAAATGTGCTGCACAAACATCGGGGCAGTCAATGTAACCTTTAATCACACCACAGCACTGTCTCATCCCCAGATGGGTGAGTATGTCAGCTGTTTACTCCAAGCACTTCCCGTTGAATTTATTTATCTCATCATAAAGTGGTAAGTACTCCCACGTAAAGATAAGAAAATAAATCCTATCACATGTAATAGAAAATTAAATCTTTTTAAACAACTACCTAATAACAAACAGGGAGACTTCTTTCTTTTTTTTTTTTTTTTTGCATCATCATAAAAAAGGTGTTGATAAAACACATTGCTGTTGGCAAAACAGACTGTTGATTGTGTTCCCCTGACAGTAAACTAAATCAGTTTTTTATGTGAAAGAGGCTGGGCTGAGTGGAGCTTTGCCTCCGGTTATATGGCGACAGATCGAGTTCATGTAGAACACTCAAGCACTGATCTATATCCTCCGGTGTGTTTGTCAACTTCTTTGCATAATGAAGCAAATTAACATAATGACACTTTATTTATAAAGTGCAAACTGTGTCTCGGTTTCCAATCAGTCAGCTAAAAAGTATCAAGTGAAAAAGTAAAAAAAAAAAAACTGTGTAATAATCTAATATAAAAAATAAATTATGATATCCTATGTTTTTAATATGCAATGAAATTGAGTATTTCTTGTAGGAACACTAATGGGGAAGGAAGCAAATAGGAATTAATTAAGTTTCCAGTTTAGAAAAAACAAAAAAACAAAAAAATCTTTCATTTTAATCTCTGATGGAAGTGAATTAAAAAGTGAAGTTGGTGAGAAGACATTCAACAGATTATTAGTGCAGCTTTTTACATAAAATTTCAGACTATCATTAAACCCTTGTCCCTTTTATTTGAACTGTGAAGCACAGCAGGGCATGGTTGGGTTTTCTTGAGGTAAATACTGTAATAATATAGAGTTCATTGATATTTTGTATTCTTTAAAGAATGACAGATAGATTGTGGAAAAATCTGTCAAAACTGACCTCTGCAGACTCCAGGTTTTCTCCATTCTTCATCCATCTGTACGAGGGTTTTGGTTTCCCTGTGGCTTTGCACTCCCACACCAGTGAGTCATCGATGAGCTTTTGCACATCTTGGGGCTTCTCAATGAGATGAGGTGGAGCTGAAATAATGGAAAGGCAAAGTAAACAGGAGTATTGATTTGAAAGGCTTACTAAGCAATACACTTCTTATTTGTGGCTGCAAATATATGACATATTTCTATAAAATATAAAAACAACGTATTTTTCAGATAAAAGACAGTTAAAAGATTTTTCAGTTTAAAGCTATTAATGTATACCATGGCACTTCAAAGGAGTTGCAAAATACCCATAACCAACCAGTCAAGTAACCAACCATGAAATCAGTTAACCATCCATCCATTCAACCAAACAAATCCAGCAACCAACAAACCAACCATTCAAAAAACCAACAAGCCAAAACATTTAAAACAATAGCATTCAACTCAGCAGAAGTGGTAGACGTGGTAAATCTCAGTGTATGTGTGTATGCATATATGCATGGCAGGCTAGACGTATAGATTTTTCTCAAAACTTGGGCCTTATTCTTAGTCGCAGGTACTACTTTGAGCCCTTGTTAGTTTTTCTCATTTACTCGTTCTATATCACAGCTGTATATGTTAATATATCATCATAAGAATATATAAGTTCTTTAGATATGTATATGCTGACTGGTGTACAACCCCGCACATGTTATTAACAAAAAAAAGCTGTGAACACTGCTTTAAGCTGTCAATGCTAAAGAAACAAATGCTTTTAGAATTATTCTTTAAACCCCAGAAGAAAAGCCCCCTCATTGAATCCCATTCTTTCTTACTTTAATGTTGTTTTTTCTCTAGAAATTCTTGTTCCTAGAGTGGTAACCTGAATGAACATGATAAATAGTGGATCCATATACAGGTGCTGGTCATAAAATTAGAATATCATGAAAAAGTAGATTGATTTCAGTAATTCCATTTAAAAAGTGAAACTTGTATATTATATTCATACATTACATACAAACTCATATATTTCAGATGTTTATTTTGTTTAATTTTGATGATTACAAATGACAACAAATGAAAATCTCAAATTCATCATATCAGAAAATTAGAATATTACTGAAGACCAATAAAAACAAAGGATTTATAGAAATGTTGGCCAACTGAAAAGTATGAACATGAAAAGTATGAGCATGTACAGCACTCAGTATTTAGTTGGGCCTCCTTTGGCCTGTATTACTGCAGCAATGCGGCGTGGCATGGAGTCGATCAGTCTGTGGCACTGCTTAGGTGTTATGATAGCCCAGGTTGCTCTAATAGTGGCTTTTAGCTCTTCTGAATTGTTGGGTCTGGTGTATTGCATCTTCTTCTTCACAATACCCCATAGATTTTCTATGGGGTTAAGGTCAGGAGAGTTTGCTGGCCAATTAAGAACAGGGATACCATGGTCCTTCAACCAGGTACTGGTAGCTTTGGCACTGTGTGCAGGTGCCAAGTCCTGTTGGAAAATGAAATCTGCATCTCCAAAAAGTTGGTCAGCTGCAGGAAGCATGAAGTGCTCTAAAACTTCCTGGTATGTGGCTGCGTTGACCCTGGACCTCAGAAAACACAATGGACCAACACCAGCAGATGACATGGCACCCCAAACCATCACTGACTGTGGAAACTTTACACTGGACTTCAAGCAACGTGGATGAAGTGCCTCTCTTCTTTTCCTCCAGACTCTGGCACCTTGATTTCCAAAGGAAATGCAAAATTTACTTTCATCAGAGAACATGACTTTGGACCACTCACCAGCAGTCCAGTCCTGTTTCTCTTTAGCCCAGGCAAGACGCTTCTGACGCTGTCTGTGGTTCAAGAGTGGCTTGACACAAGGAATGCGACAGCAGAAACCCATGTCTTTCATACGTCTGTGTGTGGTGGTTCTTGAAGCACTCACTCCAGCTGCAGTCCACTCTTTGTGAATCTCCCCCACATTTTTGAATGGGTTTTGTTTCACAATCCTCTCCAGGGTGCGGTTATCTCTCTTGCTTGTACACTTTTTTCGACCACATCTTTTCCTTCCCTTCGCCTCTCTATTAATGTGCTTGGACACTGAGCTCTGTGAACAGCCAGCCTCTTTAGCGATGACCTTTTGTGTCTTGCCCTCCTTGTGCAAGGTGTCGATGGTCGTCTTTTGGACAACTGTCAAGTCAGCAGTCTTCCCCATGATTGTGTAGCCTATAGAACTAGACTGAAAGACCATTTAAAGGCTTTTGCAGGTGGTTTGAGTTAATTAGCTGATTAGAGTGTGGCACCAGGGGCCATCAATTTGGAACCTTTTCACAATATTCTAATTTTCTGATATGATGAATTTGAGATTTTCATTTGTTGTCATTTGTAATCATCAAAATTAAACAAAATAAACATCTGAAATATATGAGTTTGTATGTAATGTATGAATATAATATACAAGTTTCACTTTTTAAATGGAATTACTGAAATCAATCTACTTTTTCATGATATTCTAATTTTATGACCAGCACCTGTAATGTTTTCTACAGTCTTCTTGATGTTTGGGTTAAGGGTTTATCGTCTTATATCACAGAGGGCTTTTGGCAGGATTAAATGAAAGGCTGAGTGCACTTTTCCATTCCAGAGACCTCACCTAATGCCACTCTCAACAACTGACCTTTGTCAAGCCTTTTCAGTTACAGCCTACACTAATTAGCTCACACTATGCAGTTTTTTGCCTTTAGGTGAAGGAAAAAAAATACAGAAACAAATACAGTAACATTAAATGTATATATGTCATACAGCATCAGTGCTTACATGAAGGTATAGATGGTGTGTATGCATGTGTGGGTGGGAGTGTATGTGGGTGGGTATGGGGGGTGGGGGGTTGTTAGGTTAGCCCTGTGGCTACTCTGACAAACACAGAAAAGGAGGCTAGTGGTAGAACATCGCGGCCAAAGCCAAAGGTTGTTCTGGGGTACTTACTGTCCAATGAAAAAGTATTTTCTTCCTTGAATTTCCTTCTCTTTCCTTTTGTTTTCTATAAATTGTTTCAGATCACAAACTACACATTTATATTAACAAGGATAACCTTGGTAAATGCAAAAAGCTATTTTGAAAATTAATATTATTTTTCACTTGTTTAACCAAGCTCTATCTAAATATCTTACATCAATATTCATTCTGGTGCAAAAAACAGTTTGTATCTGTGCATCAGTCTTCAGATAAGGGGGCCACAAGGTTAGCTAAAACTAAACTTGCATGGAGGGTATGTCCGAATAGTAAAAGAGTTTCCATTATATTGTACCGCAACAGGCCAAAAGGTCATTCTTTTATTCTTTCCAGTGCAGAATAGAGGCTTTGACTCTCAAACTGTGGTACAAGATCATCTCTAACCTTAAGTGTAGCTTCATTCTTTCACCCATGACACAAAAAGAAAAGTACCTTTGAATACTTTGATTAAATCCCTGAAAATGAAAAAGGACTAGAGAAGCAGAGCTCTCAATCAAGTTTACACCACAAACCGAACCCCTTCATCAGAAACTGCCAAAGGGGCCACCCCGTACCTTTTGGAGCTGCTTTGCTGTCATTGCTATTTCTACCCTCACAGTCAGGGTGCCTTACTCCATCCCCCACCTGTAGCATACATATCAACTCTCAGTCAACACTCACCAAATAAAAGAAGGCAGCCCATCTCAGCCTGTAACAAAATGAACGGGTATTCAATCAGGCCAACCGTCAAGAGGCTAAAGCAGAAGATGGGTTTGCCTTATTACGGAAATCACTGAGAGATTATGCAACAATCATTCTGCAGATGCAGTATATCACCAAAGATCCAAAGAGTAAAGTATCTATCTGACATCAACACCAACAAGCAAGTAAACAATAAAGACTTGTCTTCTAGCTTAAGTTGAATATGAATAAAATGGTGAAATAGTGAATACATCATGCCATAAAAGAGCCTTTTAAAAGGCTAGGGGGAAAATATATATTTTTCTCAACCGCATTTAGCCGAGGATTTTGACTGGGTCATCCTAAAACATGCATGCTCTGATCAAAAAACATTTCATTGAGCTCTAAGTTTTGGGTTTTTAGAGCTACAGTAAAGGTGCAATAATAAGCACTTAAAGTTTTCTGATCAGCTTCCCCGCTGAACAAAACAAACCCTAATGGAATTAGCTTCCACCACAATTTTCATTATACAGTGGGAAAGGTATGAGTAGGACTTAATTGTTTTTTGCCATATTTTACCATGTTGGCCAGAAAGTTTTTAGCTCACATGAAATTTGCCCATTTTTTTACAAACTTGCTGTGTCTACCACATGGCTTATACAATCTGACAACCGGATTTCAAGTTGTTTTCTTTTAAAAATAAATCTACTTAAGACTTTCAGATAAACATCAGAGATGTATAGTATTTGACTAATGACTTTTTCTAATTTTAGTTATTAGTAATTTGTCTATTCATCTCCTACAGAGTTGGCTCATTGACTGCTTTTTGTTAAACACTATTCTTGCTTCAAAGTTTAGGTTGGACTGGATTTTAACATATAGTATCAGAGGTCATGGACTAATACAAATTCAAACCCCACTTTTTAGAATCTAATTAGAAAAATCTTTTAAAAAAGCAGCTTCCTCTTCGTGAAGTGTGTTAATCTGTGACATAAAATGCGAATAACTTGACCTAAATTTGTGGCCGACTATGACAAGAGTTTAATGGGTATGGATAAGGCTTTGCATAGCCATCCTACAGTAATTTCCTAACCAAAACCAGCTAAATGCTTAGATGGATCTATTTTTAGTTTGTTAATTGAGCTCACAAGTCAGTGTGGCCTTTTTTCTTGATTCAAGACTTGAAAGGTATGTTCATGTCTTACCAATCACCACAACAGAACCACTGAATAAAATCTCAGTTTTCATGTTTTGCAAGAAGTACAGCTTTCTCCCTAATGTAGCATGCCTTGGTGTACAAGATACCTCTTTATTGATCATCTCGCAGGCGTACACTAACAAATGTCTCATAGGTTTGATTCAAAAGCAGTTCAAAGTATTATTTTTATCACCTGGCTGGAGGGATGAGAGAGACAGGCCCTGACAAAAGACATCTGAAATGAGAGAGGATTCACCTCAGAGGGATTAGTAAGGCTAAGGCTGGGAGAATATACTGTAGGCTGCGGTAAACAATGACAAATTGAGAAACATCACATTTGACTTACTCTGTGCTAATGATCACAGAGAGTTGCAAGACATATTTCATCTGGAAATATTTCTTAAAGCGTGACAAGAAAGAGGAGCTGCAAAAAGACTTTCTTAAAAACATTATAAAGGAAAAAAACATTTTTAGGTTTACACATTCTTCATATTGCTTTAAAGACATAGCCATTTCTGAGCATGGATTTCAAATAGGCTACCTAAGAGCATTTTTTGAAATCTCGTACAAAAGAGTGCAAAAGATCCTAGCAAGAACTGTAGTTCATGTGTCAATGTGTCTCTACATGCTTCAGCGTACATCAGCGTGCTCATAACTTATACAAAATGTACCCATAACTTATCTAACGTATGCCCACGTTTTTGCTAGCATACGCTAGTCCAAATCGTTAAGGTGTGATAGGGCCTTCAGGGACTACATCTGCCATAAAACCTATAGGCCTGAACTATACAGCAAGACAATGATCTGAAGTATACCAGAAAGTCCAAATCTAAATGGCTAAGGACAAATTAAGATTTTGCTGTGGCGTGAATACAGTGCAGATTTAAATCCGACTGCTTTGCTAAAGCATGGCCTTACTCATAATCCTAAAAAAATCTCAAATGAAGTTGAATAACAAGAAAATTCAAAAGAAAAGTAGACCTAGGCTGTTTCTCAATATGCGTTCTTGAGCGTTCTCATGTGCTCGTCATCAGCCTCAGCCTGAGGACTGTTCCATTTGCAGAGAAAGCCGGACCGAGAACGCACCAAATCCCCGGATGTTGTTCTTGCCCCGTCCTCTTTATCGAGTAGGCATCAGAGCAGACTTGTCCATTCTTAAGTTTGACAGCTCTCCCAGCATGCACTGCGGCAGCAGAAGCTTTCAATGGAGCGCTCCATTGAAAGTTACAAGTTCTCTTTTCTGTTGCTGTTGTTCAATAAAAGTAGGTTTCAAGATATTTTGAGGCGATAATATTATACTTTCAAGCGATTTTTTTGTTTTGTTTCTTTTGGCAAAATTTTCATTTGATTTTAGTTTATCTGGCTGTGTTAATTATCATTACCCCACTAAATGAAAAGAGTCTGAATTTATTATCTAGAGAATATTAATAACAGGAGGTAAAATGCAGCTCTAGATGAGCGGAGCATCTGTTCCAATTGACCCAGATTTATGCTGTGGGCTCCCATTCTCGCCAAGTTCAGACTTTCCTGTGCTCTTTCCAAGACCGGACTTGGCGTACGGACTTACTGTACCTTCTCGTGAATTGAGAAACAGCCCTAAACTTTCCCACAGATATGAGTGACTGCACATTCACCAAACTCTTAGTGGCATTGTCACCAAGGGTTGCATAACTTGGTGTGTAATTGTTCATATTGAGTTTGTTTTGAATAGTTTTGTTTCTACTTAATAAAAGGACCCATAGACTGCTGCTAAAAACGATTAAACTTTTAAGAAATTATTGCCTGGTGACATTTATATATCTAATTTTGATTTCATTTTGATTTTGTTTGGTTTTAAAACTCTTCTCTGGGTAGCATCTAACTTCATAAAACCAGAGTACCAGTAACTGCAGCAGTTCCAACAATGATGGTAAATCCTCTTTCTGATGATCCAGATGCTGCTATGCAGATTATGTCCCTGACATATGGGTCACTGCTCTATGTATGATACATTTAACAGCTTTGATCTTCAGTCAAGTTGGATGTCAATCATTATGCCATCTGGTGGAAACCAATGAGAAGCTCACCAACAAGGTCAAATCCAAGGACTCACTATCATCCGCGCCACTCCTATAATCTGGATCAAAATATTAGAGGCATCATGGCTGAAAGGCTTTAATCATTTTGATGTGCTGTTAAAACCATCCTCTTTGCTTTTGTGTTCTAAACAGTCATGTGCTGATCTCTGCTGCCTGCAATGTAAGAACAGTTGTGTCTGCTTTTTCTGCCACTCAGTTTGAGCAGATCTGACAGATGTACCACACTATGGTCAAATATTCATCCATGACAGGCCACCTACCGTAGAAAGAGAGCTTCCCTTTCACTGTGTTCATCCCCCTGGAGTTTTCGGCCACACATTCATATGTGCCGGCATCCTCCTGTTGGAAATATGGGATTTCTAGGACACCGCTGGCCTTCCTCATGTCCACTTTCCTGGGGAAGGGTACATTATCCACCCTCTTCCAACTGATGGTGGGTGCAGGGCTGGGAAAATAAGTGATGAGGTCTTTATGTATCAACAGTCAAAAGTGTTTATAAAATCTTTGATGAGCAATGTGTACTTTTAAATGATACAACAAAATGTTTACAATAGATATTTTGGGTCTATTGGATTGGTCTAAGGACATCTCTAAAAGAGATTGGACATGCCTAAAAGAGATTGCAATATGCACTTTGGAAAATCTTAAAAATCAGTGGTCTAAATATACAGGTGCTGGTCATAAAATTAGAATATCATGAAAAAGTAGATTGATTTCAGTAATTCCATTTAAAAAGTGAAACTTGTATATTATATTCATACATTACATACAAACTCATATATTTCAGATGTTTATTTTGTTTAATTTTGATGATTACAAATGACAACAAATGAAAATCTCAAATTCATCATATCAGAAAATTAGAATATTGTGAAAAGGTTCAAAATTGATGGCCCCTGGTGCCACACTCTAATCAGCTAATTAACTCAAACCACCTGCAAAAGCCTTTAAATGGTCTTTCAGTCTAGTTCTATAGGCTACACAATCATGGGGAAGACTGCTGACTTGACAGTTGTCCAAAAGACGACCATCGACACCTTGCACAAGGAGGGCAAGACACAAAAGGTCATCGCTAAAGAGGCTGGCTGTTCACAGAGCTCAGTGTCCAAGCACATTAATAGAGAGGCGAAGGGAAGGAAAAGATGTGGTCGAAAAAAGTGTACAAGCAAGAGAGATAACCGCACCCTGGAGAGGATTGTGAAACAAAACCCCTTCAAAAATGTGGGGGAGATTCACAAAGAGTGGACTGCAGCTGGAGTGAGTGCTTCAAGAACCACCACACACAGACGTATGAAAGACATGGGTTTCTGCTGTCGCATTCCTTGTGTCAAGCCACTCTTGAACCACAGACAGCGTCAGAAGCGTCTTGCCTGGGCTAAAGAGAAACAGGACTGGACTGCTGGTGAGTGGTCCAAAGTCATGTTCTCTGATGAAAGTAAATTTTGCATTTCCTTTGGAAATCAAGGTCCCAGAGTCTGGAGGAAAAGAAGAGAGGCACTTCATCCACGTTGCTTGAAGTCCAGTGTAAAGTTTCCACAGTCAGTGATGGTTTGGGGTGCCATGTCATCTGCTGGTGTTGGTCCATTGTGTTTTCTGAGGTCCAGGGTCAACGCAGCCACATACCAGGAAGTTTTAGAGCACTTCATGCTTCCTGCAGCTGACCAACTTTTTGGAGATGCAGATTTCATTTTCCAACAGGACTTGGCACCTGCACACAGTGCCAAAGCTACCAGTACCTGGTTGAAGGACCATGGTATCCCTGTTCTTAATTGGCCAGCAAACTCTCCTGACCTTAACCCCATAGAAAATCTATGGGGTATTGTGAAGAAGAAGATGCAATACACCAGACCCAACAATTCAGAAGAGCTAAAAGCCACTATTAGAGCAACCTGGGCTATCATAACACCTGAGCAGTGCCACAGACTGATCGACTCCATGCCACGCCGCATTGCTGCAGTAATACAGGCCAAAGGAGGCCCAACTAAATACTGAGTGCTGTACATGCTCATACTTTTCATGTTCATACTTTTCAGTTGGCCAACATTTCTATAAATCCTTTGTTTTTATTGGTCTTCAGTAATATTCTAATTTTCTGATATGATGAATTTGAGATTTTCATTTGTTGTCATTTGTAATCATCAAAATTAAACAAAATAAACATCTGAAATATATGAGTTTGTATGTAATGTATGAATATAATATACAAGTTTCACTTTTTAAATGGAATTACTGAAATCAATCTACTTTTTCATGATATTCTAATTTTAATACCAGCACCTGTAGCTTTCTGTGTTAAGGTCTGTAATGCAGATCCAACACTAAAAGTCGATTCAGTGTTCATACAGGCAGCCACTGAAATGGCAGCTTTCCTGGCTATGTTTTTTATTTATACATTTATTGGCCTTAACATCAAACATACAATATAATGCCAGCTAAGGGCCGGATTTATCAAGATCCAATTTTGCGTGCAGTAATTTGCGCTCGCAAACTGGAATTCTGCGCGAGGGGCTGAACCATGGTTTGCGGGTGATTTAACAAGAGTGATTGCGTAACTGGAGGCAGGTGCAAAACTGTTGGAGACGCCCTATTTAAATGATGGTTTTGCGCGTTTTGTGGTTTGCGGCAAAGTAGTTTGTAGTTTTTACAAACTAGTGCATTAAGAAATTTAAATCTTACAGTGACCCCCCCCCCAAAAAAAAAAAACAGAATACAGAAAAAACTTTGGCAACCTTTATTCCCTAAGGTGGTATGTGGCTGAATTTCTACTTCACTGCAGTAAAAAAAAAAAAAAAGAAAAAAAAAGAAAATAGAAAAAAAAAAAAACAGGTGTTTTGTATTGGCCTGTAGAAAAATGCACATACCAAATGGCTCACAAGAACACAAGAAGTGACTGTGGATGAGATTACTGCGCGTACGCATCCCCGCAGCATTGGCACGTTGCTCCACAGGCGCAGGGGGAGAACCCCGACCCCGTTGAACAGCACTTCGGACAGCACTTCTGAAAAACGAGATTGGGAGATCCCAGCTCTCGCTGCAACCGTACGCTGGAATGCCCCAGATGCAAAAAGGTGCAATGTTGCAAGGAGTTTTGTGATATCTGGTATTGCGTGGGTCCTCCTTGTGGCTGGCTCCAAATCCATTCGGAGTTCCCCCAACAGCTCCAAAATGTAAATGCTGGATAAACGATATGTTTTGATGATCGTTTCCTCATTCATTGCAAAAATATTCACACGGAGTGAAAAAATGTGTTCTCTGCGTCTCCTTGCTTCATTTCGATGTCTCCTTCTTGCGACAATAACCGCTGCCATGTGTGCGCAATTACGCATACAGACCATTTGCACCTTCTTTTGAAACGTGTTAAATATAGAGTCAGATACCGTTAGCAAAATTGCTTTCAGGTTTGATAAATCACTTTGCGAGTGCTAAATAAATATATTTACATGTTCTCCTCCCACAAGACGCACTTTTGCGTGTAAACGCCCCATATTGCATATTCATTGCAGAAAAAGTACTAAATGGATAAGAGGCGCTATTTAGCACGTTTTAAAGACCAAATCCTTTTAGCACGCTGTTGATAGATCAGTTTGTACATTTTTTAGCGTGCGCAGTGAAATAGCTCACGTTTTTATACACGCAAACCTTTGATAGATCCGGCCCTAAGTGCCCAGTTAATAAAACGTTCACCCTAATCACTATATAGGGCACTTTATAGTGGCTACGCCATTTTAAATGACTTAAAAATTCCCACAATGCACCTTGAGAAGTAGTGATCATCCATGGTCAATAGACGAGCAGATATATCCTGGAATGCTTTGCAAGGAGAGCTCTCCTTGAAAAGCATCATGGGATTTGTTATGACAGCGACAAATAATAATGGCACAGGTACCGTGCGGGGTGTCTGATGCACGTGACCAACGGAGAGCGAAAAATAGTGATCATCTGTCCGAAATTGTCAGTTAACTGAGTTCACTATAAGGTCAACTATATACTCCTCGCTCTATATAGCGATTGAGGGATTTAGGGGTTAGGGCAGATGTACAGACACATGCCAGGGACTGTTTGGACCAATCAGATTTGTAGCAGTTTCCAATTATCAAGGATTTGTACACTTGGAAAGGGTACCGTGGGGATATTTAAAAACTCAATTAAGAATCATTTAGAAACTTAATTTAAAGAAGAGAGTTTGTTTTTTAAGAAAACTTCTTTTAAGAAGGTATAAGGAAAAAATGTCAAATGCTAGTTTGATATAAATCAAGATTTGCTAGTCCCAGAGGCTGAAACTAACTGTTTGGCAAATTATGAAAGAGAAATTAGCAGCCTTTTATAACCATTATGCAAATCTAAAAAAGATCACAGTACTTTATGTTAAGGCAATTTTAGAACTTTTTAAACTGCTGTAGCTTTTGCACGTAATTTACACCAAAGCTGTTGATTATTTACATGTTAAAATAACAGTGACAGTAGAGGTGCCACCCCCCCAGTGATTTTCACGTGTAGTCACATACTGGGAAAAAAACAAAACGTGTGAGGTGTTTCTGATCTGAAAATTACCCAATAAAGTATTAAGGCATGTTTACATTTTTACTTAAAGTCTTTGCTTGCCGCAGCTACCCAGAACATTTTTCAAAGTTTTATTCTTCCCTTATTTCAAATCTGCAGCTGTAAATACTCCATTTTGTACCCAATTATTAAACTGTGAGATATTGTTTGACTTTTCATTTAAAATGACTTTATGTTATGAGAGTAAATTGTCATTAATGTACTCAAAGCATGATTTAAGTCAATAGATATTTCTATGTTTTTTCCTACCATTTTAAAGGCTTATTTAGTGAAGATGCCTTTTTAAGCAGTTCCTCACCAAGAAAAATTGGTTGAAAAGACATTGAAAAGAAGACATGATTTACAGTCTGTACAAACAATGTCTACATTTGCTTGAGAAGTGAACGGTGAAAAGAGCTAATTTTCATATCGTTGTCCCACTTTATTGGACTAAAGTGGGACAAAATCAGTCCAACCAAACACAGCCCAATTTTCAAAAAGTTTATGGAATATATCAAGACTATGACAGAATGACCAGATTTAGCAGAAGTTAAAGAATATTAGTTAGTTTCTACTGTGTATGGTGATCACATTTTCTCATTTTTCATGTCAATGTGTTTAAATTTACAGAATTTTTTTTTTATTATTATTTTTTCCAAATTTGGAAGTTCAAGCTTCAGAACACTATGGTGTACAAAAAATAAAATAAGCTTGAAAAACACAGGGATCAGTGCAGTTGCAGTACTAAACTTAAGTAGGGAAGAAAGTGTAATCTTTTAAAAAGTTTTACTTATTTATTTATGTTGTGTTGCTCCTTGATACTTGTTGCCTTACTTTCCAAGTGCAAAGCACTCCAGCTTTACAGTGGATCCTTTGGCTACGTGGATAACCTCTGGAAATTGAACTTCAATCTTTGGTTCATATTCACCCATAACACCTGAAAGATAAAAGCAAATAAACTGCAAAGTTAGTGGAAATACGGTCATTCATATTTCCTTGAGTTGAAATACTATAAAAAAGTAAAAAACAAAAAAACAAAGAACAAATTGGTTTTGGTTTCTTTTGGGACAACCAAATTGCTAAAACTTATATATTTTCCTAATTCTTAAGATGAAGTCTTTATCCAAACTTTTGACATCTAGGGATCAGAGCAGCATGAACACTTTCTATTCACAGCACTGTCACAGTACTCTGGAAATAATGAGGGAAACAGGGATGCAAATCACAAAACAAACCCATAAAATTCCTCCCTGAGTCCTACCACACTGTCTTAAACATTTCCTATTTACTGTCATTGAAGCAACTTTGGCAGCTTGTATTATATCTGCTGTGCATACTAAACAACTCCCAATTGACTGGAACAGACTTTTGCTTTAGATTTCTCAAAAAAATGTCTACCTCATACCTGTGCTGTAGTTTTTAATGCTAAGGAAAAATATTTAGTTTTAGGTGTATAACCCTCAAGCATAGCCTTCCAGCAATCTTAACACCAACACATTTCATCACTTCATAGGCCAGGTTGCCACATATCTTTGGGAGATATTTAAAACTCATCAGGATAAGTTTTGTACCAGAATACTCATGAATTGACTCTAACTACAGCCTCCAGCATGCCTTGCAGCTTTTACTTCAGACCACAGGTTACAAAAAGGCATAGAGAGCTCAATATTTCCTCTTTCTGCTGCTTAACATGGCTCCAAAGGGACATCTCTCAGGTGAAGCTCTGCTTGTTTGGAAACCCGCAGTTAAACCAGGGGTGTGCTGCATCCTCACTGGCAAAGCTGCAAGACTGTAACTTCCTCATTTCTTTGAAGAAGAAGCTTGTAGCCACATTAGTGGACAGTCCACAGGCTTCCCAACATTAACCCGATTAAAGTCTCTCCCAACCGAAGTTGATGTCTCCCTGAGCAAAGAAGATTCATGGAGATCTATGGGAACATGCCATTCCTCCTCCTTTCCAGAGTGGATTGGACACAGAAACTTTACTTTGGCCGAGCAATGCGACCGGTAATTACTTCTCTATCCCACTGAACTGAAGCTCCTGCAATTCCACAGATGTGAAAACGAGACCTCAGGGTCCTGTTTCGAAAATAAAATGACCAAAAGTTAAACCTTTCATTTTGCTTTCTCTTTGATACTTTTAAATCGTGCCTGGGTAGGTAGTTAACCTAGAAGTAGAGTCAAATGCTGATGCTTAGACCGGGAGACGTTTTTGCTAGAATTTTCCTGCTGAATGTATATAGTGTTATTTGAACTGGAATGATGAGCATATAATGCTGTTGTTGGACTCTGAATGATGGTTTTATGAACTGAGAACATGCCCCTGGTCAGCTAAGTTGAAGGAATCCTTTTTGCATTATTCTCTTTCTCTTCTCTGCTTTCTGTGACCTCTGCTTCTAGCTTATCACATAGTTAGCATAACTAGTAGCCTCTTGTTTCACTAACATCCTGTATCTGCCATAACCAAGCATTGGTTTATTATTCTTAATCTAAAAAGAGCAGCATCTTTGTGCTAGAAGCTGGTCTCCAGCTACAATCCTTGTTTGTAAATACCAAATAAAGCCAATGCTTTGGTTATTTCATACCTCCTGCTGGTGTAATTGATAATTATTTAGTGCAGAAATTAAGGTAAAGCTTGATGAATTGTTTCTCCGTGAATCACTGCTATCCAGATTCATATTTCTTGCTGGTTCTTTGTAATTTTTTCCTCGTTTGCCAGTATTCATGTCATCTACCTGAGAAGTATTGAAAAGAATAATTGCTTGGAACAGGAAAATTATTGTGTATAATACATTTCAGTTTAGATAAAGTTGATGTGTTTGTGGTTATTATATATATATATATATATATATATATATATATATATATATATATATATATATATATATATATATATATATATATATATATATATATATAAATATATATATATATATGATGGCCATATGTCCTGCTCAACTTCATGACTTTTTCGGTGTCCCCCAGCGCTTAAAATTTGAATGAGAGCGGAAGCCAAAAGTAGTATCTTTGCCAGTTCTAAAGTGTCACATACCAGTTGACAAGTGGTGTATGCCATCTGAGAAGTGGCATATGCCAGTTGAGAAGTGACCTCTTTTCATTTGGCATAACCACTTTTCAATTGTCATATATCACTTTTCAACTAGCATATGCCACTTTTCAATAGGCATATGGCTTATATTGTCTACTGTAACCAAGTGTATCCTGCAAAGTCAAACACTCAATGCAATCAGCTGGGTTTCCTTAGATGGAATAACTTTTAACCAGTCTCACTGTCTGATCTGATTGATCTCTGTACAGTGCCTTGAGAGGATACATGTTGTATCAATTGGCACTTGATAAATATACTGAACAAAATTAAAGTTGGTTTAGTTATAAATTACAATTTTTAACATTTTCAACTGGTTAAAAAGAAACCAGGTACCGGTAAATGTAGTCAGTTTTGGTTAACTGGTAATCTATATCGTTACCTATAATTGTTAAAGGCTGCTAGCCCTTAATTACAAGTATCTGGTATACATTAAATATCTAATTATTGTGACGGAATTTCTATTAGTAATAATATTTAAAAGAAACATTTAAGAAAAGAAATCACAATTCTTAATAAATATTTTTAGCAAAAGGAATAACTGCAAAAAAACAAAAAACTCCGTATCAAGTCACACTTGTTAGGCACTGCTAGAGAATCAATTGAGTTGTGACTATAGCGCTGTAGCAATGATCCACTGAAAATAACTATTTGATATACCACCATGCAAACACTTTGCCTCTGCTAAAGAAGATTCCTTTACTTTGGGATGCAGAGTGCTTGAAAGATTTAGTATGAACTAATTAATGGAAATAGCAATTATCTAACTACACAGAGGAGATTAAATTCCAATATCAGATAATCAGTTGATACCTTACAACCATAAAAAACGCCATTAGACACAATATACAGAAATACTTTTTAAGGTTGCTCTGTTCAGGGGCATTGAGGTGTCGGTCTGAATCTAGTGCATTAAATGCAACGATAAAACATCCCAGCTAAGATCCCACATTGTGGCCCAGCAGTGCGAGTTTTCCCTTTACATAAAGTTAACATACTAAGTCACAATAGTTTTTCCAGTTTCAATCACAAAAAACATTTTACTCCATCATCACTTTACTCCTCTTAGTTCATGTCTATGCTGATATTTTACATGGCTGAATAATTGCTTTCAACTTTACTTCAGACCCCAAAAAGCAATAAAGGCTATATATAGACTTGGAATAAAAAAATATCTGAATTCCTCTCCTTAAATGATGCTAAGCTTAATGATATTTATGAGTTTGTAATTGTGTATCAGGTAATTTGGTAATTTCAACATTGTTCTCATTGCCTGCTGGGTGCAAGAGATTGTATGGCAAAGCATTCCATCCACCAGCCCTACAATAGCTTTTTTCTCCATTGCTATAATTCAGGCCTGTGTTGCACAAATAGCTCCAGAGATGTAGGAAACAGCCCAATTTCATCTTGTGGATTTGGTGAGGCGTGTGCTATCAGGATAGCTCCCTGAGTGACTGTGAAAGCTAATTCAGATCCTTATCACAACTGTCTCACACTGGAATGTAACCACACTCCTATCAGCCATGTTAAAGTAGACAGGTGCAAAGGAACACGTAATTGTCTCATACCATAACCTTTTGTAAGGAACACCTGTTTAATGTGCCAACCCCCTCACCCTCCTATCTAACCCCTGCAGTTCCCATTTCAATGGACGGGGCTGATATCTATCTGCTGACCCATCTGCTGCAGGAAAAAAACAACGAATTAAAGGAAAGGTAGTAGAAAGAAGTGTTGTAGAATAGAAAAATACAGCACCCTCAACACTTTTGATACCCCTGGGAAAGACTAACAGGAAATCCAAGATCATTTCACTTTATTGTTCAGCAATGGGGAAAATCAGTTATAGGACAATAAAGGATATTTCTATCTTATTCTGAGTTAAACAAAATTTAAAGAAAAAGTTATAAAATATTATTTCTAAAAACCCTAAAAGGAGTCCTTTTTTAAAGTGCATTCATTAACCAGATGAAAAAAAAAAAAAATTTATTTCTTCTTATTCCCCAGTGCAGCAATTACTAGTAGACCTACTGGTAATGTAAGATTTCACAAGGTTAGAAGAGAAAGGAAAAAGATGTGTCTGATCATTCTTCTTCTCACAGTCTCTTTAGAACTGCTACCGAAGTGTCAGGACTGGATCATTTTCTATGATCTTACTTTAGATGTTAATAAAATAAGGTTCATGTAGAGTCTGGTCACCCATTTCTGTGTTTATTAATGGAGCAATGAAAAATGTTCAGTTTTCTAATAGAAACCAGCAGATTTCTATGTAGAATATCTTGATGATTTAAGTTTAATATACCATGATCGCTAATACGGCTGTCTAGGTCCAACTGAAACAGGTTAATTTCATCAAAGATATTCTCCCATCCTAATCATTTAGATAAAGGTTATTTTCTAAGTATCAATTCTTTATTTTACACTAAACCGAGCTGAAGAGTGTATTATTGAAAAGTTCCATCTTAGTTCTAGTCATAGTTCAGCACCCTCTTCAAGTGAAGGTTTTTTTGATAGAATGACATCAGGTATCTAAGGCTGGGCGTTATGAAACCAAAATAATATCTTAATGTTTTTATACCTAGTGACAGTGTACAATATTTATTTTGATGCATTTTTCTTTTTAATAGAGTAATTATTGAAAGACATCTCTGAATAAATGTCACATTGATACATTTTTAGCAAACTGTAGATAAACAGGAAACAATGGCTGAAAAATATATAGTAAAATCCCAACAAAAAATAAATATCTTGATACAAAAGATGTAGTTTCATCCTATATGTCTTGTATAAAAATCTCAGTATTTTCAAAACATCGATCTATATCCCAGTCCTAATGGTATCTATCTGAGTTTGGTAAAAAAATTTGTATGAAATGGCTGCTATGGAAACTAAGCATTGCCAAGACGCTTACTTTAATCATTTATTCTCACAAGATTTTTTTTTTTTGGTTCATAAACTGTAATGCTCTCTGTGCATGGCAGCACATGGGTCCTTGTCAGGAATAAGGTCAGGTATATGCTAATATTTCTTTTCTTGTGGCCTTTTATTGCCATTAATAAATGTTCTCTAATCTCATACATTTTGAGTATAACGGAATGTATCATGTTATTAGTCTAGCATCACAGAACGTTTGAATCATGTATATGATCATGTACATATGTATATGTACCATACCAGGCAAGATCCTGGGAGCAGGCTATGAAATGAGGTCCTAGAAACAATAAAGCATTTCACAGCAGGGTGTAAGATACTAGCAGGAGGAATACATGGAATGTCATGACCAAGTGGCTGGTATAGTGTGCAGATGGACCTGCATAAGTTCTATTCTGACATGCATACAGTTTAAAAGCCTGAGTAGACAGGCCCAAATTTTATGGCAAAAAAAGACTGACTATGTTTAACAATTCAAAACCCATGAAGCCGTGAAAACATTAAGTCATTTTTCCATATCTTTTCCATAACCTTTTGCAATAAAACAAAAATCACTGTTATCTCATAATTAAACTATTTTTTTGCTGTTTTCCTCGCTAACGCGTTTCTTTTTTGCCTGTTTCAGTACTCACTCAGGAACTAATATTAGATTTTCCTAAAGAGTTGGCCGCATCATTTTCAAAAGACACTTACTTCCAAAAATTCATAAAAAGATTTTGAAGAATTATTAGACACAGAATCTCGCAACTGAAATATTTTGTTTTGAAAGAATTATTAGAGTCAACAACTATTAGAGTCAAAACATAGCTAACTTCGAACTTTTTGCTTTTGCTATATTAAAAAAAATCTACAAAACACAAAGCCACCATGTATAATGGCTAATCCATCTGGTTTATTTATATCTATGGATCTCCTCCCCTAAAAGCAAGGCTTGTAGTATAGATAAAGTGAACACAGTAGACCTCTGTAATATAGGTACAATGCACTGTTTATGAATAGACAATGACATAACATAATAATAAAATATATTTCAATGTATACAGTTGTATACATTGAAATGTTTTAGGTTTGCAGTGTGTTTTAGGTTTGCAGTGTTTACCTGCAAACCTAAAAGGCTTGGAGTTGATCACAATAGATAAAGCATAAAATCCTATTGGAAACTGTACAATTTGGTCTTTGTTTTTAATCTGTAGGCACATTTCTTTTCATATCAGTCTATGTCAAGTGCTAATAATAAGAGGGTTTACCATCACTGCGAAGCACAAGAGGAGTGGGAGGACCCTGAACACGAGTCTTTGTGACCGTGTTGGTCACCACACAGGTGTAATTTCCAACATCTGAAGGCTCCACTTTGGCAATGTACAGATTCCCTGTTTCCTGGGAGATGAAGCGGCGAGTGTCCTGCTTTACGAAATTTGGGTACTCATTGAAGATCCAAGAAAAGATCAGATCTGTAGGCAGAGAAAAGGGAACATTTGTTTACATCAATAAGAGCGAGCATCCTATTAACAATTAAATCACAAATAATGTAAAAGTTCAAGACATCTAATGGTTGTTAATAAACAAACAAGAAATGAGTTTCACACAAGTGAACATTCAACCCAGGATCTGTAGATGTTTTAAGAAAGTGGTTTTATTTGGACACAGGGCGATTATCTATATTCACTAAAGTTTGTATTATCAGCAAAAAAGATCTGAATTAGAGTTTTACAACCACATAATTTGTGTTTGGCTCTCTGTTTCTTTCTTTGTTTTTCTTCATTTCTTCCCTTCTTTCTTTCCTTCCCTCCTTATTTGCTTCTTCCTTCTTTTTGTATATCCCCTCACCTTTCTCGCACTAAATGAATCTGTTCATAAAACAGTAGGGAACTATGAATTATCTAATGTAGGCAACTTACATTTTAACCTGGAAAGGAGCAAATTAGAAAGTTTATTGACATGGATTAATGTAAATAGTTTTGCTGCTCAGAACCCAGCAGAAGGCATAGAGCTTAGCATTTCTGATGATGATAATAAGTACAGATTTATGAAAATGGAGATTTTGTCCTGGGGCCTTGACACTGGAGATAGACTTAAAGATGAAGGAGAAAGCAACTTGAATTGAGTAGGAGGTGAGTTGCAGCAGATTGGAAGCAGAAGGTTGACCCTGGTGGAGGAGCAATGATAAGAGAAACTTGGATGCTATTGGCTAGGGAGGAGGCTTGGAGAGCAGGAGAAGACTGTCATAGGTTGATCCAGATGATGTGGCTGTCTTGGTGTGCAGGTAAGACTTGACAGGATCTTCCAAATTTGAAAAATACGCCTCATTTCTATGTGTTTGCGATGTACCATTTTATTTTATATATATTCAGCCTGCATCTCTTACTTTCACTGGTGTCAGGGGTGTTTCAGCTTACAATGGTATGAAAATGTGCAAAGCTATTCATTCTAATTATCATCTTTGCATATTTCAGAAGCCAGATCAAGACGGAGGACTTGGGTTTATTCAGTTTTCTGGTTTATTAGGCTTCTGATTTGAGATAAAGAGGAACTTTAAAACTTAGAGAAGTAATTACAAAAACACTATATCTTATGCACTGATAGAGAATTTAATAAAAGGATAATATTCTGTAACTACATGTAACAATGATTAATGGACACAAGCTACACTCAAAGACTCAATTAACCTGGTCAATAATCCAATTTAGTGTGAGATAGTTTTTCAATGGAGACAAATGAACAGCAGATGGACAAGAAGATGAAAAAAATTATTTATATTAAAAAATTAAGACATGATTTGGTCACTTTCTCTGGCAGCTGTTTCATAACATAACCATTGACATAGGCTCAGCTGAAAAATTTTGAGGCAAATCAAAAACTATATTCAAAAATGATTGCAGAGCAGATGGTTGCTATGGCACCTCAAATTAGATTTAACCTCATTTAACAACCTGGAGTCCACAATTTCTAGAAATAGGCATCATGTGAGCTCCATATGTGAACACAGAAATACTGCATGTTAATCACCCATTCAGGAAGCTTGACTCATTTTAGCCATCAGCAGCTGCAATGACTGAGCTGGAGGTGGCAGATCAAAGAGTCATCGACATGTGGGATCTGGAGATTGACCCTTTAACAACTTTTCCATTCTGTCTACTTTAAAGTTTCACTTTTCCAACTTTTTCAACTGATTTACTTAACTTTGCCTTTTAAATGGTAAGCTCCTAGAGCATCTTTATAAACTCGAAAGCACATGAATTACAGTAATGCAATATAAAAGGGCAAAGTTGTATATTACATGAAATCATTACACATACAGTAGAGGATGATATTTTTGTCTTTATTTTAATTATAGCTTTGTGGTAAGAATAAGGAAGACAGATTTAAACATAGATGTTTTATGACCATATGAATCAAGGCAAAAAAGGAAACCCTACTGGCCTGAAGTTTGTCATTGACACTGTTGTTAACGTGGACCAATCTACAGAAGTTCATGGCTAATGAAGCTTCCTTTACAGATGGGGGGAGGGTATTTGCAATATAATAGAACTCAATGCTTTGAATTGCAGTGGCACTCCATCCTTGATGCGGCGGTAATACGCTTAAAATAGGTTTGCCGTCACCAAAAGAAGGGGAGAGGGGGTTGCAGCTAGCAAGCATATCCACGCATCAAGTAGAAACAAGCAATTTTTCACACAAAGGGTACAGTAAAGGCTTGTAACACTGGACTCTGGACAAGTAACCTTTCAAAGTCAAGAAAAAACTCAAACCCTAGAGCGAAACATCTACCCATAAAAACAATAAATAAATACCAATAAAAATGAAAAAAAAAAAAAAAAAAAAAAAAAAAAACGGAATGGCCTGGTCCAAACCAAAAAGAATGCTAGCAAACTCTTCAATTCCTACTCAGTCTTTATTTGCATTTTTTTTTATTGGTGACTGCATCAGGTTTAACCTCTTAACATCCACCTTATTTTGGGAAATTCTAAATTCTAATTTTGCATACCTAAATGGAAAATCAAATAACTTTGGAACTGCAAGCCGTGTGATACATTATTTAAAAGCTAATACCTTATATTTTCTGAATATATAAATGAAAATTGGGTGAGTAAAACACCCAAACTGCATCAAACCCAAAGGTATTAGTTCAAACAAGACTCAAAGTTGTTTTAGTCCCCTTCATCAGTAAGATTATTTAAAAAGTTTTGTTTCAACAGTTAAATGCTTTTTTAACAATGACAAGCTGCTTTGATGTCTTCCAGTTAGGTTTCCGAGCCAACCACAGTACAGAGACTGCCCTGATTAGGGTGTTCAATGACATGTGTATATATTTGGACTCTGGAAGAACTAGAGTGCTGGTATTATTGGACCTCAGGAGCGTTTGACACAATGTTGATTTCTTGGTTTATCAGAGCATCTGGAAATCTGGTTTGCCTTTCTGGTACAGCACTTAATTAGTTTAAAACTTTCTTAAAGGACAGGAACTTCTATGTGTCAGCATTGAACTTTTAATCAGAGACCAGAAACATGACATGTGGGGGTTCCTCAAGGCTCCATTTTTGGCCCCTCCTATTCAATATCTACATGCTCCCCTTAACTCAGATTATAGCAAACAACCAGATCAGTTACCATAACAAAAAGACAACACACAGCTGTACATCCCAATGGCACAAGGGGACTAATGACCTTTTAGAATGTTGTCTAGATGGATAGACAATATCTATACATGGATGTGCCATAATATTCTCCAACTGAATAAAAACAAAGGAGGAGAGATCCAGAGGTGGCACTAAGCTGCAGCTACTACAGCTACAAACCACTTATTATGGCTGAAATCTTGGTATCATGGTGGATTCAGACCTGAGCCTTCAGTGGGATATAATGACAGTTACTGAGTCAGCCTTAAATCTTCTAAAGAACTTTTCCAGGATTAAATGATTAATGTCCAAGCAGGATCTAGAAAAAAAAATCACTCATGCAATTATCTTTAGTAGAATTGATTTATGCAACAGTGTCTTCATAGTTATGCCTAAAAAATCCATAATCAGCACCTCAATACATAACAGATCTATTTTCAGTCCCAGACCACTCAGGTCTTCTAGTTGATACCACTGTAGACCTAGAACCAAACATGGAGAAGCAGCATTTAGTTCCTATGCTCGGTTAATCTGGAACTAACTCCCAGAAGGCTGTGCTAGTGCTAAAAGCATGAGTTATTTCAAATCAAAGAGAATAACTACCTTTGACTGAAGTTAAATTGTCAACTGAAGTATTATTTATTTAGGTTTGTGGTCCAACTGATTTACTTGCTTATTACCTGCTTTATCGTGTTTTACTCATTTTATTTTGTCTTATTATATTTATTTTGCTATATCGTACTTACAATGGAGCTTTCTCTATTCTTTCTCTCTTCTGCAAATATTTGCACTCGAAGAAAAAAAAAAAATCCTGCAACGGATTAATAAAGTAATCCGGATTTTTATCTTTACAAGCGTTAATTTTACTTCCATTGTTTAATTCATGGAAAGCACTATGAATTGTCTTCATACTGAATTGTTCTATACAAATAAACCTGCCTTGACTTCCCATTTCCGTATAAATTCTTTATTTTTTGGCCTAATAAATATCAAAATCATCTGACCATAATTTGGGAATTTGATGAACTGTAAGCCATAAGCATCAGAATGAACAGAAATACTCCCTTTAGTTTGATTGCTTTTTTAAATAATGCACTTTTATAATCTGATATCTCTTTAATGAATGCTTAAAATAACACAATTTTTGGGTGATTTTCAGCGATGGAGTCCCCCAGAGTGATCACAAGACCGGGAAAAAAAAAGGCCAGAGAGTGGTAAAAATTGGTCTCGACCTCTATACCCGTTAAAGCCAGAAATTAAAGCCATCAAGGAACCCTTCTGTTCAACTGCCTGACCTGCATGGCCATTTTTCTAAGCAGGATCCCTATGTTGGCTGAAAGTAGCAGCAGTAATCATGGTCTGGAGCTCAGGCTCTGGGTGTGTCTGCTGTTCATGCGGATGGCACAGTAGAGAGCTGTAGGAACCAGGAACACTTTAAGACAGAATAAGGCATGTTGTCTGTGTTTGATTTCTCTCCACTGGCTCTTAACTATGGGGCACCTGCTTTTGGTCTATGTATAAAATCATATGGCTATGCAGCACAACAGGAGCCAGAGAATGCCACAGAGTCAGAAGACATAATGAGATGCCTCACAAGGCCAGCTTGAATGGATTTCAAGAAAATCGTCCTAGGCATTGATTTTCAGGTTATCCAGCTCTGCAGTAGGAAAACAGGACATTGCCTACACAAATTACAGGTGCTGGTCATAAAATTAGAATATCATGAAAAAGTAGATTGATTTCAGTAATTCCATTTAAAAAGTGAAACTTGTATATTATATTCATACATTACATACAAACTCATATATTTCAGATGTTTATTTTGTTTAATTTTG